GAGTATTACCATATATCGCTCCAGAAGTCTTGAATGGAGAATCATATACCTTAGCTTCTGACATCTACAGTTTTGGTATAATTATGGCTGAATTATCAACTGGAAACCCTCCCTTTTATAATATAAAACATGATGTGTCTTTAGCCTTAGATATTTGTAATGGCCTTCGTCCAGAATTTGGAAAAGGAACTCCTGAATTTTATAAGAAAATGGCTTATAAGTGTATGAATGCAAATCCAAATCAAAGACCAACGATCGATGAATTGTTTGATATATTATATTTTTGGTATGAATCTAATTATGAGAGGTGCAATATTACTAAAAAATATGGATATTATGGAAAAGAAATAAAAGTAGCATTTGAAGAAGCCGATAAAGATATACCAAATATTTCAATTTCACGTAAAACTAATCCTGATGCCGTATATACAAGTAGAGCATTTGCGTTTAAAAATTTGACAAAACCTATTAATTCGTCTCTTATTACTTCTTATCTTGAAAAGGATGAAAATAATGAAGGTATTTTCTAAATTTTATTTTTATTAATAAAATATAAATACTAACTTCAATGCATTTTAATAATTCAAGATTCTCAATTACACGAATTAGAAATTTCTAGCACATTATAATTAAAAGGTAGTTTAATGAAATATTGATACATTTAAATATATACTAATACCGATTTTATATATAATGATAAACGCCAATAATTGAAATATAATATTTCGGTGTTATTTGTATTTGCTCATGAGTAAGTTTATAAAGACTGTTTACATCATCATAATTTTTGGTTAAGGAAATCTAATAACATATTTTAACGTTAGTATACTAATTAATATCACAATATTTAGACTACTTTTAAAAGTTTATAATTTTAAATAATTAAATTCAGATTTGTTTAATAAAATACGTATTTTTTTAGAATGTTAATGACATTACTAAAATAATGTGATCCAATTCTTGAGTTATGACACGTCACATGGGTATCAGAAAAAAATAATTCCAAAATAAATTGTCGTAGCATTGTGTTATAATATTTTTTGATAAGATTTGGGCGAGATAATTAAATTACTAAATTAAAAAATTAAAATTCATTTTAATATTTGTGAAGAGTCCAAAAGCCAAAGGATGAAAGTATGTTCGATTGCTACTATACAATGTGATCAAACCTAAATAATGGAAATAAATTTGAACCAAAGCTAAATTATTATAAAAATATATACCGTGCTTAATTCGCTTAATTCTGAAGAAAGCCGTCCCAAAATATGAAATTAAAGAATAAATAAAAAAAGCTATAATAATTGCTGCAACTTGCTGCGACTAAAAAAAAAAATTGAAGAAAAAATTTAAAAAACATTACCAATGTATAAATTCGCCTAATTAAAGAAAATAACAGAAAATAATTTAATTGAATAACCAAAAAATACATTTTTATGGATCCAGACAAAGAGGAGATCAGATCTTGATTATTCTGCTTTTATTGCGCTAATAATAGAATCGATTCCAATCACTGCTATACAATTTATTATTTTTACTGATTTATTGAGAAATTGAAACAAAAAAATTTGTTGTATACATTAATTAATATTCTTTTATTTACCATTTATTAGAAAAGAATTTAATAACAAGAGATAAATCGTCGATAAGCAAGATTTTGTGAGGTATTCTTCTAATTCGTAATATATCAGAGTTATACGAAACTCCGGTAATATCACTTTTTTTGTGGATTTTTCCAACCTTTTGCGCCTTTTGTACTTTGTGAGTTAATCTGATTACAATATCGATATTGTTGAAGATCTTCAACATACAAACGGACGGCTAATCCAAACGTGGATAAAAATATTGTAAACCACAAATTCTTTTCAAAACAATGGTTTCTCTTTATATCTGAAGATTGAGATCGATTAAAAAATAATTGCCGAAGAAAATTCTAATGAGCAATGGTATATTTTAACTTGCAATATTTTGTTAAATTGAAAATTTATCTTCATTAATAATTTAATAATAGATAAGGGCTTTCGGTAAGGGTGTTTTCAATTTGTAAATCTTTGTAAGTTAAAAGGATTCTCTGAATTATTTATTATTTTTTTTTAAAAAAAGATCAAATAAAACTAACATGGCTAACTCGTGATGATTAAAAAAGTTTTCTTCCAACGGGGAATATATTCTTAGAAAATGTAAAAGACCAACTGGAGATGATGGATATGAGAGTACCTTTGGAAGTTGTTTGTATATTTATATTTTTTTATTATATTTCAAAATAATCAATTTTATTTATATAATTTATTTGTTTAGCTAATATCAAATCTTAAATAAAATTACGTATATAAGTTTTCATAAGTTGATAATTGCAATGGTCATGTCTAATTCATTGGGTAAACTTATTTTAGTAGTTATTAAATCACATATCATTAGTATTTATTATAGATACTTAAATAAATAAATAAATAACAGGATTTACGGGAAAAACTCTGTGTATTTTAATAATACATGATAATAGTTGTCAAAGAAAATTCTAAATCTCGAAGATGATCAAATTTAATTTTATGCATTTTTTTCTAAAAAATTGTTTACACTTACATTAACTATAAAAGTATTAAGCGTCGCGATCTAATGATCGACATCTATATTAATGTCATTTGCTATGATACATGTCCGGTGACTGATATAGGTAGGAGTGACCCAGACTCGTGTAATATATATAGGTAGGATTTCATCATGAAGGCCTTTTATTCTTATATGAATATCATATTGAATTTGTGGATCCATGGTAATGTTAGAGAACTTGCTTAAAGTTCAGTAAGATTTTCTTAAATGTGCTAACCAATTTTTTGTTGCTTTCTCTGCATTTTGAACATGTGATTTTTTTTGATGAAATGAAATTGCTTTTTTAATTTAGATACTTTAGGTTGTAAATATGAATTATTTAATAGTTCGCGGGCTGTGTGTTGTTATTCGATTTCATTTTTAATTTTGTGAGGAAGAAAAAAAATTTTTTTTCAAAAAAATAATTGTTAACGAATAGTTTAGTTAATAACACATGATCCAATTATTACGTAATCATTATCATGGGCGTTAGTAACCATGAAATATATTAGTTATTTACCGATATCACAGGCAGGGATCACTGCTCCGCCGTGATCTTAGATGATATCTCTGATGTCGCGGTAAATAACTATTACATATTTACTTTGTATATTTATTTCCAAAGATGAAATAAAAGTTTATACCATTTCACTACTGGTTCAGAGAGCAACGTATTAATTTTTCGAATTATATCTTAAGAGTAGTTATAGCTGTAAATTTTTAAAGTTATTTAAAGATTTATAGCATGTTATTTAATACAAAAATCTGTTAAAGTTGAAATGTATGCAGAAAGTACGATTACTGCGAAAAGTAAGCAAATATCAATGAAATAAAAAAATTAAAAATTTCTTGATGTATTAATATGCAATTACTTATAGTTTAAAATTTTTAGCTTTTACTAAACATGAAATTTATTTTTTTATAAATTTTTTTTTGCCTATTTACGATAGAGAAAACTCTTAATTAAATTGCAGAAACACTTTACTTTCTTCAGAAGGTCGTCAACCATTACTATTCTCAAAAGTTAGCTAATTGATATACAACATTTACTCAGTATTTCTTACAACGATTCTCCAAAAAAAAAATAATTTCAATAAAATGAAAAAAAGTATTCTTAATTTTAAGAATATTTGAACAAGGCTAAAAAACTTTTTTTTATTTTTTTCCAATTAGAAGAAAAATTATTTCAGTTTATAATTTTAACTAATTTTAATATTTACCGCAGTTTATAATAAGTAATTACATGTATTATTTATTAACCACATTAAAATCAGCTTCAAGTAACGAAGGTAATACAATTTGGAGTACTTAGTAATGATTTGAAAATTA